ATTTCCATAACGGTTGCAATAGTCTACACTCCCACCAGCAGTGGAGAAGGGTTCCTTTTCCCCCACAGCCTCTCCAACATTTGTTGTTGGGCGATTTCTTTATGATAGCCATTCTTTCTGGGGTGAGATGATATCTCAGTGTGGTTTTAATTTGCATTTCACGAATGGCTAGCGATGTGGAGCATTGTTTCATATCCCACTGTTTAATAAAAAAGAAAAAGAAGTATGTTTGGCAACCCCAACTCTATTAATTTCTTCTATCTTGGGTTCAAGAAACCAGTACAAATCATTTTGGGTATCTGTTCTCAATTCAGTTCAAGTCCTAGTGTCTTTTGGGGTTTTTGCAGTAAAACACCAGCCTTATTTTTCTGCTTAAATTGTTCTATTCTGCTATAATGGCTATAAAATCACCATTTTTTAAAAAAAAGGGCTTTACCTATATCTAGTGATAATTGCAATGGATTCTTGGCAATGGATTCTAAGCTATTAATAGCTTAATTTAAGATAGAAAAATCAACTTGTTCCTATGTGAGAAAATCATTGGTAAGGAAGAAAGAAAAGGTAAATAGAAGAATAGACAGGGTAGTATAGCATTTCAGAGTTAAAACTACTGGTATATGGACATCTTCTTGCTCATGTGCACAAGGGGTTGGAGCATGAGATGGCTGAGTGGAGCAAAACTTGAGGGAAGATTAACTTTAGTAGCAGCAATTAGTCTTGTCTGTGGCCAGCAATAATTCCATGTGCTGTATATGTGTTATTTTATTTAAATCTTTGGATCAGCCAGAGGTGAGATAATCAATTATTCACACTTTAAAAATGAGTCAAATAAGGTTTGGTTAAGTTACAGATCTAGTATTCTGTGTGGATGCAGAGCAGTGTGCTCTTAACGTACTGTGTGCCAGGTTAGTAGCAGGAAAGCTGCAGGGATGTTGCTGAGTGGCAGAGCGCTCACCAGAACACAAGGCCCTGGATTCTATCCCCAGCATTATAACAACAACAGCAACAACAACAACAACAACAAGTAGCACGCCAAGTGGCCTAAAGCATTTACAAGATAACTTGCCTAAGTCAGAGAATGTCAGCCTTTTTTTTTGGAGGGGGTGTATATCCAAATTAAGATAAGGAAGGTGAGTTTGAAAGTCTTAGAACTTCAGATCATTGTATGCTATATGCGATTAAGGACAGAAGCAGCTGTGAAAAGTTGAATGGAATATTCAAATTCCCTGCTTCTTACAGAACTTCTTTACCAGGTATTTCCACAAACAGCTAAAGCTTGATGTTCCAAACATCTTACCATCTCTTCTTTCTCTTTCTCATCATCCCTTCACCTGCATTGACCTGTTCTTCTACCTGAGATCTTTTGTCTCAAGAGATGACAAGGTTGTGTACCCACTTCTCCAAATCAGAACCCTGGGAGTCACTGTAGATGTAACCCTCTTCCTCATGTTCCATATCCAGTTATCTCTACTTCTTTAAATTTTTTTTTCTAATATCCTTTATAGCTTTTGTCTCTATTTTTCTCTAATTTCTTTATTTTTTTTCTAATATCCTTTATAACTTTTGAGCCTGTTTCTGTTTCCTTTTTGATTCAGTTACTCAAAATGTCAGAATGATCGATCTAAAATGTTAAAATGACCATCATCAGCACTCTACTTAAATTTCTACCACGGTTTTCCTGCTGTCAGTGTAAAATACTTGAACTTCAAAGGTCTCTAAATTATGGGCCCTGATGCTTCCTAACTTCATCTGCCATCATGTTCCATATCCATTTTAGGACTGCCAAATTTGCTTTTGAATCTCTGGTGCTTAGTCTGGTGCCTGGCACATGGAAGGCATATAACTAAACGCTTGCTGAGTGAAGGGAGAATGCATATAGCATTGCTGTGCTGCACACATCCAAAATGGGCTTTCCCTATTGGTTAGGGACACAGGCAAATTCAGACCTTCCAACTGTTGCGTATCATCCACAGATGAATAAAATAAGACAAAGATAAAACTAGTATTAATAAAATTTTTTAAAAGAATAAAAACCAGGTTATTTAGAAGTACTTAAGATTTCTAGTTTCCTTTAAAACTACTTTGGAGGTATAAGCTATATTCCTAGTCATTCAGTGTTTGCTGACATTTGACTTTTTAATAAAGGCATAATGCTAAAATTCACAGTTATGAATTTGGGAGAAGATGGATCTTAATGGTATCCTTGCTAGAAGGACCCTACATCTGAAGTGGTCTACTCCTATATGGTAGTACAACTAGAAAACTGTCAAAATCAATTTTTATAATTTTTTTTAAAAAACCACATTTTGCAAAATGAAAGTAAAGAAGTGACTGCAACTGTCATAGGCCACCATTCATCCTGCAGGAGTTTTACTCTTGTTTTCATTACCTTACAGTGAAACCTTCTAAGCCTCTTTGTAGCCTGCAAGGAAGACCAGAAGCGGGACATACCATCTCCCTTTCTTGCCTCTCTGCAATTGGAACACCATCTCCTGTGTACTACTGGTATAAAGTTGAGGGAAGCAACATCGTGCCAGTGAAAGAAAGCTTCAGTAAGTGTTACACTGGCAGCCCCTGTCAAGGCCTGCTGTTTGAGATCACTGATAACACAAATGTATGGCCAGCTGTTCGTCCTTAGTGTTCAGGCTACTGTTTTCTTTTTTTTTTTTTTGGCCGAACCAGAGACTGAACTCAAGCCCTTGTGTTTGCCAGGCAAGTGCTTATTCTACTGAGCTTTCTTCCTGGCCCCAAGGCTTCTCTTTTTCTTGGGGAGAGAGAAAATTTTAAAAGAATACTTGTTTTTTTTCAACATGATGATTGTGGTATGGTCTACTCCTCAATTTCTACAAAGCTGTTCAGAGGTGGTGAGTATTGAGGAAATAGGTCCTGGCTGACCCTAGTTGGACATCTCAAGAAAGGGAGGCCAATGTGGAAGAAATGAGTGGGCAGTGAATAATCTGTTACAATTGCACAATCTGTATCCACATAAGAGATTTTAAAAGTCTATTTCCTGATTTTGACAGATCCAGCCACTGGGATTTTGGTTATTGGAAATCTGACAAATTTTGAACAAGGGTATTACCAGTGCACTGCTATCAACAAACTTGGCAATAGCTCCTGTGAAATTGATCTAACCTCATCACGTGAGTTGACTCTACTACTTTATAAGTTTTTCTTTAAGCCAAGTAGTAGGCACCTGTCAGCCAAGTAAATTATTTAAGAACTCTGGTTAGACCTTGCTACTCTGGAGATCAATGTGCTTTATTTATAGGTTGACAGAATGAATGATCATCCTAACATCTAATGTTTACATAATATTTAATATACTACGTAAGTCCTTTTTCTAAAAAATGTATTTAGTACAGGGTCTATAAGGTCTCACTACACAGATCAGACTCGTAGTGATTCTCCCCTTTTCATCCTCCCAAGCATTGAAATTATAGGTGCACACCACCACACCCAGTCTCAGTTGCCTCCTCAACGTGCCCAGCGCGTGGGGCCAGCATGGTGCATCCAAGCCAGGATGCTGCACTCTAAGCAGGTGCTTTAGTCTGCTGAGCTATCTAGCCGGCCCTCCCTAAGACCTTTAAAACACCAGTTTAATTACATTTCACAAAATCTCTACAAAGAAGGCGATAGGTAAAGCAATATTCTTATTGACAATATCAGGTTGGATTTTTCTTTATGTTGCTATTATTAAATACAAGTCCACTGTAGGAATCTCTTTGAAACATAGTTCATAAATTTCCCATTTCTTAATTCCTTTAAGATTTGCTTCATCCTGCCTCTAATGATGATGACAACAATGATGATACACACCCACAATCTCAGTACCACAGTACCTCATATTTGTCATTATTATTATTATATGCCAGACACTGGCCAGGTGCTACATAAGCACTGTCTCAATCTTCCCATTCACCCAATTTTGGGAGGCAGAATATATAGCTGTGTTTCTGTGAAGAACCAACTGAAGCTCAGGGAGGTAAACGACTTACCCAACATCATCCAATTTGTAACTGGGAGAGGTAACATGCCTCTAAACCTCAATCATCCCATTCAAAGATGCTTACTTACTGTCTAAGCTTAATATTTATGGACCCCAGAATTAGCAAATTGGGCTAATCCATGGGTAAATCCTTACACGAGATGTCTTGAACTTCTTGACAATCATTAAATAACACGTAGGGACTTGTTATGTAGTGTTTTTTTCTGACATACTTTAAATTTATGGTTTCAGTGTATATCTTGTCCAGGTGTGACAAGTTCCATCAGATTACTGCTCTTCTTATGAAGCTGAGCTGCTTTGCTTTGAAGCTCATCCCTGTATCCTCATACCCAACTTTCCCCCCGTGATTAGTTTTGTTTTCAGATCTTTCCCATGCCCTTTATACCTTCGCAGAGATATAATCGTGCTGCAGACATACACATAGAATTTGTAATTGAATCATGCTAATTTTGCGTGTAGTGTTTGCCTGTCTTCCTACTTCCACTCTTCCCCTCTTTACTCTCACCCCTACCTTCCTTCCTTCCTTTAATCCTTCCCTCACTCCTTCCATTCACCTGTAAGCATTTATTGAATATCTTCCATGTTCTAGGGACTGTCCTAAGTAATAGAGATACAGGGATATATTCTACTCATGAAGTTCACAGTTCAACTAGAGACAAAAAAAAACACACAAAAAACCCCCAAAACCCTGAATTATGGTAAATGCCATAATAGATATGTACAAAGTCTATTAGGACACTAAAGAAGTAACACACTTATAGATCTGGGGATGGTATTTCCAACCAAGTATTTAGCTGCCTCTTGAAGGAACTTGGGAAGTCTGTTTATCTGTATCGCGAGGATGTTAAAGGATACAAGTGAAGCCATAGACATAGAAAAACAACTAGTCCATGGTAGAGGAGGAGGAGAAAGACCTCCAGACAGGATGTTTCTGACAAAAAAAAAAAAGAATTGATGCATTTAAATCTATTGAAAAGAATTTAGTGATTTTTTTGAAATGTTGTGATTAGTGATGAAGCATTTAAAATGTACACAAATCCCCAAATGAGGCAATTATTAACCTTGGAAATTTTTTTAGAAAATGTTGTACAAGGAAGAATCACAGCATACTGTGCTCCTCAGTTGGGAGCAATATTTACATAGTCATAATACTGCGGTTTTGATTTATGTAAAACTTGTAACTACTTTAAGAGAACGTAAATGGAGCATGAAGGAAACTAAATCTCCAACTTGCAAAGTAGGAAGTTAAAAGGGAATGATGAAGATTGAAAAGGGGTAGACATTCCAGAACAAGCATAATACTACCAAGGGGGAAACATTTTAAAAATCGGACCCATAGTGGTTGCCTCTAGGGGATGGGCCTCAGAAATGGAGATAGGTGGGGCAAGGGCTGTTTTTGTTAGTTTAGAATGATTTAACTTTCAAAATTATTCACATGTATTTCTTTAATCAGAAAGGTTTAAAGGATTAGGTAACTCAACTAGTCTCTCATCTCAATTTAAATTGTTCAGTCTTCTTTGAGGTGAAGTGGCCATGGATGGGCTAGCTTGTGACCCAGACATGTTTTCACAGGGACAATACCTCCAGACTTGAAGGTGTGGTGTTCAGATGGCTTGTCTCACATTCATTGAAAGCTTCCATAGACTGGCATAAGCCTGTTTACTGAAATGAGCATATTCTTCCCCAGTGGCCAGAATGTGCAACACTCCTTGGTGAGCACAGTGCAAGTGAAAAGATTTTTAGCGACTTTTCACCTATGTGCTGGGGGAATCTGGTGAAGTCTTTCTGGTGTCACATAGGCATATTTCTGGTGTCCATATTGCAGACTTTCTTCTCTAAACCCCTTCTGAAAGCAACTGTGCCTGCCCAGATTAGTACTTATGTGTGTAAATGCTACAGGTTAACTATATAATCAAGACAGTTCTTTTTTCTTCATACCCTATGAATCCAACTAATAGAATTCTAGTTTTGATTCTAACCTGTACAAATCACTGTACACTATGTGAATGTTCTCCATTAGTCACAAATGCATGCATATGAGGTGATAGTATGTTCTAATTTACTAACCAGCTGCATGTGTCTTCCAGATCCAGAAGCTGGGATCATCATCGGGGCCTTAGTTGGTATCTTGGTAGGTGCTGCCATCATCGCTGCTGTGGTGTACTTTGCAAGAAACAAGGCAAAGGAAAGGAAGAGGAATTCTAAATCCACCACAGAGCTTGAGTAAGCCCTTTATTTAATTGAGTAAGAACACTTATCAGGCACATCTCTTTCAGTCAGCTCTAAGCACTCCTTTTTAGCATAAAACAGTAGAAGTACCTTCTGCTTGCTTTCCATGCTTTTACAAAAAGAATGATAAGGGCTGGCCAGACAGCTTAGTGGACTAAAGCACCTGCTCAGGCAGAGTGCAGTGGCTGAGGTTTGATCCCCAATGTGCCCTGCTGGCCCCACTCCCAGCGCACGCTGAGATGACAACTGAGACTGGGTATGGTGACGCATACCAGTAAACCCAACACTTGGGAGGCTGAAAACAGGAGAATCACTACGAGTTGGATCTATGTAGTGAGACCCTGTACTAAATACATTTAAACAATGATGGTGGCTACCATCTGCTAAGACTGTTCTAAGTACTTTACATACATCAAATCATTTAACCCGCGTATCAACCTTTCTAAGATCAGTAACATGTTTCATGATGCAGTATTAATGTGTTTCTCTTCATGCCAACATAGTTTTAATTTTTTATTAGAACAAGAGGCTCCTGAAGGCAAAAGAGAACACAGTTCACAGAATGTAGCCTTCCCATAGCCCACACTCTTTGTCTTTCTGTTGTTTTTTGTCCAGTGCAGATTACATTCATTTATTCACTTTTCCATCTCTTTGCTTCCACAACTACATATTAGGCACTAAGTGCCACATGTTGTGTAATGGAGTTAGAGATATACAAAAGCCATGGATTTAGTCCTTATTAGACTAGATTTAAGACTCTATTAACTTCTTTAACATTGTTATCATTTTCTCATCTTTTAAACATAGTTTGTCTTTCTTGAACTTTTATCACTTCTGAGACCTACTAATCTGTGGGAACTAAAAAATGGAAACAGGCAGTGAATCAAAACATCAGAATTAACAGATATCCTGGACAGTCTGGGACCTATGATGCTGACACTACTGAGCCTATGGCTCCCTGTGAAATTTCAAAGTATTCTTTTCTGGGTATTCTTTCTTGTAGACCAATGACAAAGACAAGACAAGCCATGCCAGCAGAAGATGCTGTCCAGCTAGAAGCAACACTGCCATCCTCCATACATGAGAATGAGCCTGCTGGCATCTTGGAACCAGACCATGAGCCTTTCCCACAATCAGATCCGGTCCCACAACCTGGCCCAGGTTCAGCACCTATACAGGTGCCTGAAATTGAGATCGTGCTGACACCACAATCAGAGCTAGAGCCAGAGCCAGAACCACAGCCTGTGGTTGTAGTTGAGCCCCAGTGTGACGAGGAAAAGGCTGAGGTTAAAACATAGGCTGCACCTCGAAGTACAGCAGTCCTCACTAAGGAACCCATTACTAGCTTCTGCAATTCAGTTTACAACCAGTTTCCACCTCCTCCCATCATTCTGACCAACTTGCTTCTAACACAGTGTTCATTGTTACTATGAATTCCAATAAATGGATCAAGTTAACTGCTAAATAAATGCATGGGTTCCTGCTTTATCACTAGAGTACTTAAAATTAAACTAACATGTAAGAATAAGAACAAGGCAAGTGATTCCTAACTCAGTTTAAAGAGCTTTGCAACAGCAAACATCATATTGCAGAAAATTCTAGTTCTCTATTTTTCAGGTATTTTGTTGTGTTCCACACACATGATAAGGTGGCATTAATAAGATTCAATATAATTTATAGGATTAGTTTTATGGCTTTCCTATTACTACTAAGAACTCAACTGCAAATCTCATAGATTCGGGAGATATACTCCACAAACGATAGAGAATATATAAAGAAAGGGTATAATGTTAATTGGTACATATGGATGTTTCATTTGTCACACTGTATTTCTCAAGGAATCACTTTGGTGTCCAATATCTGAGTAGAGCAAATTCTGAAAATAGTCCAAATTTTAAGTGCCAAATGATATATACAAATGATTTCAATTTCCTTCAATAAATACAAAGTACTGATATAAGTGCTGTAGAATTTAGCTTTGAAAAAGCTACTATGTGATCACTGTAACTTATGCTTCTTTTGAAGGGGAAGACTAGGGACATGTTCCAAGTGAACACTTAAGGTCTATTTGAGATAATCTCAACCAATTATTTAAATCTGTTTTACTTCTGGTAGGTTCCACATTAATAAAGTCAATTTACTCTTGTGTAAAGTTTAGGTATTAACTAAGATGCATTGATGTCATCTCAACAGTTACAAAGCTTTTTCATGAACATATTTCACTCATCCCACCTAAAAGAAACTTACATGTAGGCTTATTCCCTCACTTGTGTAATCAATTATACTTTAAATCTTGGTTTAAGGCTCAATAAATATTCAAAATTTAATTTTAATGACTAAGATAAATCCTTTAGAAAGCAACTTTATTGACACATAACTTATTCATGATATATTGCAACCATTTTAAGTGTAAAATTTGATGAGTTTTCAGTCATACACACCCTTGAAACTACTCTACCCATCTGGATAGAGAACATCCATAAGCCCAAAATATTTCCTCGATGCTGCTCTTTTGTGCAATTCCACTGTGTCCTGGACCTCAACAATCATTGATTTGTTTTCCATAGATATTATCTTTGCCTTTTCTTCACACAAATGGGATCATACAGTGTGTGTGGCTTATAAGGTAAAACTTTCTCAAGTAAAGTAATGAATCTTGAACTTACCACATCAAGAATTTCATGTAAAAGATTTTCTTAAAATGCAAACTATCTATATGGATCACACTCATATACCAAATTGAGGAAGACCCTGTAGGTTTTAAGATGGGTTGAACTAGAAATAAAAATTACACTTGTCCAGAGTCATGTAGACAAAGTCAGCAAGCTTCTTAGGTATTTTCTTTAATGTGTCAGTTTGCAACCAATCTCAGTAATTTTTGAAGCTGTTGTAATTCCATTCACAGAAAACAATAAACCTTATGACATATACTATCTGATTAGTCTAGGAAATAAAATGATCTTAAAAATAACCTAACATTTAGATATTAAAAACTAAACATTAATAGTATAAAAAGATTCAATGATCTGATTGTCTAAGTAGCTGGAAGTCATTTTTCCCTTCCATTTTTATGATACAGGTAAATCTAAGACTGATAATGTAATAGTGCTAAAACCAACATTTCTGATGGATCAGTGTTGACCAGGAAGGCAGGCATTATTGATCTCACAGAACTCAGTCCTTATTAACACTGTTCTGTGCAAAATACTGATCAGCAGTTTGGTCAATGGTTTTTAACCTTATTTTAGTTACAGATCACTTTGAGAATCTCCTGAAAACTGAATCCCTTACCATTGAAAAATACACATATATTGCATACTATTTCAGATGTTATAGACTAGCTGAATTCAAGATTGAGTTAAATAACACAGATATAACACTTAATAAATTTGTGAATGACACAAACACAAATGTCTGGACTTTAAAATACACATAGAGTAGGTATTGTCCAGCTGGGAAAGTATGTACCTTTGGATTTTTCCTCTCAGTCCCCTTCCTGACCTTTGCAATGCAAAGACATTATTTTTCAGACATCCAGGATTCCCATGCTCTTATTAGCTCAGTGACCTACTGAGATCTGCATTCCTCAGGCAAGATTCATTGCTCAGAACCCCTGCTCTTGCCATGCTTAAAAAGGTGGCTGTTATATGACCTGTTCTTGTCCAGTGAACATGAACTTTCATCATCCAGTCAGTTCATTCAGTTTGATACATGACTTAGCCCTCTTCGTAAAGTGTTAGTTTTTGGAGACAGGATCAAGCTATTGCCCCGGCTGGCCTCCAACTGAAGTAATCTTCCTGCTCAGTCTCCCCAGTATTTGGTTCTATAGGTGAGCATCACTTTGCCCTGCTCAGGAGAATTTACTTTTGAAAGGGGATTCTTGAACACAGATAACCCATAACCCAGAGTCTCAAAGGGGGAATTCCAGGTACTCAGACAATGTAGAGGAAGATATTCATAGAAAAAGGGATCTCATTAGCCCCTTTCAAATCAAACCATGGGGTTTGCCATCTACTCAGGCTTATAGTCACTCTGGTTAGTGTAACTTCATTCTGGTGTCCTTAAGAACATAATGATACACCCAATAAATGTTTGTGATGAATCTTGAATCCCTGTAATATACTGGTGTAATGCAATTCTGCTCACTAAATCTCACTTAGGCAGGAACGGGCTCATATATTAAAAGCTTCCCAATAAGGGGACAATATGTTTTGTTTCTGCTTTATCATTGGATCAGAAAATATTCTCACTAGTTAAGTTTTGACCAAATTATTTTAATTTTTTAAAAATTAATTTAATTTTTAAAAATCTCTTATGAATTTATTTGGTATAGGGTCTCGCTACTCAGCTCAGACTCACAGTGATCTTCCAGTCTCAGCCTCCCCAGTGCTGGGATTACAGGCATGTGCCACCATGCCCAGTTGCGGGGCTGGCATGGCATGTGGGACTGAGATTTGAAACTGGATCCTTGCACTTGCCAGGCAGGCGCTTAGACCACTGAGCTGTCTCCCCAGCCCCTGACCAAATTATTTTAGAATAGTTCTTGTTCAGAAAGGGAACTAAAATATTTATTTTTCCAGAAGTAGCTGAAATTTAGTGGGTAGTCTCACAAAATCTCAAGCCAGCCCTGTTTCCTTAAAGATCCATTCCCGCCATACAAACTGATTTCTAAGAACTTATGTTTCTCATGTTTGTTTCTGTATTTAGCAACTAGGGTGAGCCAAGTCAACAGATCAGCTTTTATGGTAAGAAACTCTGATCTCCTAATTTCTTTATTCAATCACTCACTGGAAGGGCTGGGGAGATGGCTCAGTAGAAGGGGCCTGAGTTCAATCCCTTGTTCCACAAAAAAAAAAAAAATCACTCACTGGACATTTAGTGAATGGCTACTATGAAACTGGCACTGTTGGTGTACAATGGTGAGCAGAATCAGAGATATCTCTTGTTTTTGTGGAGTACAGTTTTACTATGAGTGGTGCTTTTGGCAATTCTGTACAAAAGTTTCAATTTTTACTGCACTAGAGAAGCCATCCAAATTATAATGATCTATGATGAAAGGAGACTAAAATATAATAATTTTTGAAGAACAGTTAAGAAATCACAGGTATTGATCTTTTTCCTTTTAGAACACCAGGAGACTCTCTCATATTATATGCTAAGAAGCTAATATTTGCATTTAAAAGTGGCCTGTGCATAGAATTTCAGAGCTGGAAGAAAACTTTATCATTGATCATACTCAACCTTTTCTAACTCTAGTACATATGAAGGTTGCAACATACATAGTGGTTCTGGCTCTCTCCTAACAATGACGGGGGTGAAAGTGGGGGATGATATAGAATTGTGCATTCTTGGTGAGAGAGACAAGGATGTCAATGTACTTTAAAAATCTGCTTTGTTCTGATGTAATTCCACCCAGGGTCTAGAGAATCCCTGAGTAAAGAGAGGGGAAATAATCTTGAGATTATACAAAGTTGAAACTAGATCCAAATTCTAGTTTCCAGTGTAATGTTCTTTCAAATGCACCAAACTGTTGGGAGCTGCTGAAGCTGGAAACTGATCATCTTGCTCTCCCACATATGATCAACTTCCAGCTTCAGCAGCTTGCCACAACGAACTATCAATTTAAATTAAGCCTAAATTTTAGTAATAAAAGGATGCTCTACAATGTGTACCTGCTGGTAAACAGGGCACAACAAATGGTTCAAACCATGAAGCTGAGGTTTTAACCCAGTGGTAGAGCTATTTGTCTACTACATCCAAGAATCTGGGGTCTATCCTCTGAATCACAAATAAACAAACACGGTTCAAACTAATCAAGAAACAGTCAATAATTACAGTTTTCTTTGACGCTTTGGTTTAAAAAGAATGCAAAAAATGATGAGGGATCCAGGGAAACAAAAAAATGCCAATGAAAGAAAACAAGTTATTTTATTCATAGCACTTGACCTTAAATGTGTGAGTTTTTCATACTTTATCACATTAACTCAAGTCTCCACTCCCATCCCTGTTACAGCATGGGAAGAAGGGGCTGCAATTTCCAAGTTTCTGATCATGGTTTGACCATTACAGTGAAGAGCTCCTACCGTGAAGCTATCCAGAAGCCCAAGGGTTACACAGAACAGAAAATGCTTCTAATACCAAGAAATTTGAGTAAATTTAGTAGTTCTGGATAAGACACTTTAACAACCTCTATACCTTGAGGCCATAATTTTAGGTGAAATAAATCAGACACACAAGCTTACATACACCACATGGTTTCTCTTAAATAAGAAACCCAAATTATAAATAAAGGGCAAAATAAAATACAGCAGGAATTAGGGATAGATCTATCTCAAGTGGGAAGGGAGACAAGATACGAAAGGTTGGGGGAGGGAAGGAGATGGGGAGGAGAAAAGAATTAAGATGTGTTATGTGTGAGTACCAAATCCCCACAAGGAATGTAATCATTATCTACTGGAATCTGTATTGAGAAGAGTTAAGAACCTGTCAGTAACTTGGGACTGAAGCCAAGTATGGATTTATTATGTAGTAGCCAATTTGAAGAAAAGCACAGGGCAGGTGTTACAATTGATGGGTTATAATCAATGCCAGAGTACCTTCCACTTGGTTCAGTGATTTTAAGTATAGGGAGAAAAATGTATTAGGATCCAGGAAAGTTGTATTTTGGTATTGGGCATTTTCTGATGTGTAAAATGGAGATGATTTTTGTATTCTTAAAGGCAACAATAAGAAAAGATGCAAAGCTTATAAAGTGTGGTAGAGCTACAATGTTCTAGAACTTATATCTCCAGAGAACTGATTCAATATTCTTTTGGCTCTTACCCAGCGATTCTTAACTTTTTAAGAAATCACAGGTTCTTTTGAGAATTTGATAAAAATCTATCAACTGTCTTCCCAGAAAAATGCATATACAACATTCTGCATTCAATTTTAGTCAATAGCAATGTGAAACTGGAGCCATATAACCCAAAGTAAAGAACCGTCATAGTAAATATCAATTTTGCCAACAGACTAATATTCGACAGCAGAACACAGAAGCAGAAAACTGCAGGCAGAGCTGCATAAAAATACACTGTAAGTGGTGTAATTGAGAAATGAGAATTCAAAACACTAGGGTCAGAGTTAAAACTATTAAGTCAAAGATTTTAGAGCAGAATGCAGATTTACCTTGAATCTCAAACAATGTCACCAAAGTTAAGAATACTCTGTTAAAGGTACTTAAGATCATACTTTTTCCAGTATTTATTAAACTTTAAAATTGAATTTTCTTTTTTGTTTTGGAAGGAAACATTCTTGAATCAGCTTCACACTGTATCACATTTTCTACAGGTAACAATTTGGTCAGGATCTGAGGGCATTAAAACCCTCAGTTTATACAAATCAGTGATTCAACTATTGCTAACAAGTTACTTAAGCCTACAAATTACTTTAGTTTTACTTCCGACTCTATTGCTTACTGAAGAACTCATACTAAGGAATTAAAATGAGTTTCTATTATACCCATGAAGCCTATTACCTCAGACAAACTTAATATTTAAAGGCTTTTAGTCTTAACAGATCTATTAGAGAAAACTTTAGTGTTAAATCACATTGAAAATATTAGAGGTAAATTATTTCCCTTACCAATCACTCTACCTCCAGTATTCAGTAAAGCAAGACTGTTATTCCGTAAGAAGATACTTCCCTGGGCTGGAGGTGTATCTTAATGGTAGCGCACCTGCCTAACTTCCCTGGTTTTGATATGCACGATGGCAAAAACAAATTTATGTAAAACAGTTTTGTTTATAAACAACAAAGTTCGTATTTATAAAAGTTTTAATTACTGGACATTAAGTCTTTAATTTCAAATTAACACAAGTTTGTGGGGGCTCACTTAAAACATGTATTTCAAACAATATTTGCAGTTTAAAATTCAAGTCAAAAAATAATTTGTTGTCACTTTGAGTATGTTAGATTTAATAAGTAATAATCATTTAAGATGCTTCCCTAAATTGAGTTTTAATGTGCACTTATTAATTTCCTTGTGCTGTGCATTTAGTTGGCAATTCAGAAGACTACTATTCCAAAGGTTTTACTTGTAGTTCAAGCTTCACTAATTTTACTGACTTTAGAGCTACCCACAACTGAGAAATGTTTTTACTCAGAATTTTAAGGCTTAAGTGAATGTCTTTTTAAAAAAACGGGCTATTCTAACATTTTTAAAAGTTCTGAAATACAAATCAAAATACCATTCTGTTAAAATCATTTTAACAATCTGGACATTCTTTCCAATAAACGGTCAGGCAATAAAGGTACTTCAGAGTTTCCTGTTTAAAAAAACATAGTGTTGTGAAGGAAAGCAGCTCCTCAAAGAGATACATGGGTACACAGGACACTCACTGTACTCCATTATTTTAGAGCATATCCCCCAACTTAAAATTTGGTCCACTAAATATATATACATATATATATATATATATATATATATACACTATAATGAAAGATGTATAGTTGGAGAAAAGGGAAATATTTGGCATAGGTCTGAGTATTAAAATGTGTTTCAATTATAGAAAGATATAGAATTCACCTGCAACCATGTGACAGAACCACCTGCCTATTGTTATTTGGGTCATTGTGCTTCAAAGGGAGAGAGAAGGTACATAGGAAGGTGGTGAGGACTCATTAACAGTCACACAATCACTCAAAATTAAGCAAAATGCAGTATTAGAAAACAATGTATGACAAGAGTGGAACAATCTCAACAATTATTCAATGCCTGGAAAACAGGTTTCATAACAAGTTTAGAACAAGTTACTTATCTCAGCAGGAATAATGTAACATGTTTATCTCAGCAGGAATAATATAACATGTTAGTAAGATTCTGAACTTAAGAAAACTGCATCCTTTGTAGATGATGCCTTATGTACAACTACATTAGTTTCCAGGGCATTGAGGACAACAAAATATATAAAGTAGATTAAATCCAAGCTACTTTAACCTTCTACCATTGTCTTGAGTATTAAACCCAAGCCACCTTTGGCCACTTGCAGGGGTGTTTTCTCTTCTTTATTTTCAATGTAAATACTTGCTCCATGGGATGTCAGCAGTTTTGCTTCTTCCACTCTCTCCTCATCACAGGCTAAGTGTCTGAAATCGGGGAACACAAAGATCAATTAATAACCACTGATCTATTTAATGGTTAGGATTTCCTATGAGGGAGTCTAATCTGCAATATTATTAAGCCTTGGTAATACTGGAAATTTATTTAATCAGAAAAGTGAAATCAACATATGTGGGAAAAACTGTTTATAAGTTAAAATTGACTGGAATACTCTTATGTAACATCATAAATCACAATCTTATTACTACTCCATGATAGAAGAATGCATCAAAATGACAGAACAAAGCAAAAATTCCTCATTTTTATGGAGATCAGTAGTAGTTTACCTCAAACACTGCACATAACAAATCTTGGTTAGAATTCAGAAAAGCCTCAATTCATAACATGTTAGTAGCAACATATAGGATTTAAAACTTTTAAAAATCAGTTGAAAATAGTTCATTTTGTTGATGTGTATCTACCTGGAAAATAGCACGGTATTATCGTCACTTATAACAGTTAAAATTGTGACAGAGGTTAAAGCTTTTCGTTATGCTGATATGGTTGAGTGGTAAACTGGGTGGGGAGGGAAAGCAATCTGTGTTAGGCATTTTCATTTTTCATGCAGTGTATTAGGCAATTTATATGGCATTTGACTCAAATTTCACAATAACATAGTGAGGAAAGAATTATTTTCAAAGCATTCCAGATGTTAAGACTCACAAAAGTTAATATATATTTGACATAGCTGGAACGTGGCAGAGTTTGGGCTGGAGGAACAGCAACTAGCTATTCTGAAACACTGTATTTTCCTAGGAGACCATATTGGCTGACTTCTAGACTTCCTCCAGGCAATCCTGCCTTTTGAGTTTTGGAGAAAAAAGCTAAAATACACAGGACTTTCCAAGAGTGTCACTCAGGAAGATTTTTAAATTAAAAAGTTAATAAAAATCAATCTGTAAAGGTTGAATAAACCTCACTCTAAACTAAAAAGAAGACTCACATTTTCTGGACTCAAAACAGACATCTTTCAACATGGAAGAAAAGTGGCCAAATAATGTAGAAAAATATAAAGGCAGAGGCAGGTCATACATACAAAATTTAAATGTAAAACAGTAATAACTCTCAATCAAAATGAATGAATATTAAAGAAAACCTATATTATTATTTTTTGGTACTAGGAATCAAACTCAGGACCTTGAGCTTGGCAGGGACTGAGCTATAGCCCCAGCAAAGAAACCTATAATAAAATATAGGTAAATAGGTAACTATGATGAAGATAAGCTTCCTAATAGTAAGGGAAGATTAACTGGTTTGACTACACAGAGATGGAAAACTTGCATTTTAAAAAATTAAACAAAGTAAAAGACCAACTGGGAAAAACATTTTAACTAATATGGCAGAAAGTTGTATTTTTACTATGTCAAGTGAAGAACACTTAAAAGTCAGTAAAAATAAATTAATCCCCCAAAGGAAGCTGAAAGGGACACAAAGTAGTGATTTAACACATCCCTACAGGCTTGAACCACTGGTGATACATGCATGACTGGCCCACTGGGATGCTTCCACCACCCGACTGAACTGCCCCATACTGCCCAATGGCACAGTCATGCATGTACCACCAGTGGTTCAGAGGCACTTGGCAGTGAGAAATAAGAAATTACAGCCCGTTGTGAATGTGCTAAAGAGATACAACTTGCCAAAAGGCATTAAATTTCTAAATTGATGACAACAATACATGTCAATTACAAACATAAAATACCATTTTTCATATAATAAAAGGATAATTTCAGTGTTGATGTTAGATAAAAGGCATTCTTAAAATGCTCTTGGGAGGGTACAGTGATACAACTCCTCTGGAAGCAATTTGGCAACACATGGCAATAGCCTGAAAATGTGCGTATTTGTTGGTCTAGAAATTTAACTTCTAGGAGTCTCTAATAAGATAATGGCAACATGGACAAAGGTTTTTATACAAAGTTGGTCAATTCAGCAATATTTATAATAGTAGAAACGTCAAAAAATTTTATAAAGTAACAAGAATGATTAATTTGTGGCCCATCCATAAAATCAACTGCATATAGTTATTTAAAATGTTTTAAATGTATTTAATGATACTGAAAATGCTCACTGTATGAGGTAAAAACAAGATATAAAATTACTGATACAACAGTACTCTAACTTTGCTAAAATATTTATGTAAAATATATATGTGCATATAAGACTGGGAAGAAATCCACAAAAATGTTATCAGTGGTTATTTCTGGATGGCAAATGATAGGCAATTTTTATTTTTTTATCTTTATGCTTTAGTGTACCTTCGGATTGTTGTTACTAACATGTATAAACAGAATAATAAAAGAATTGATACATAAAAATTACTGAAAGAAGGCTAATGTTAAAGAATACAAATGACGGTTACTCATCACTTACAGAGGAGTGTTACCCTCAGTGTCTTGGATGTTTGTGGATGCTTTGTAGCACAGAAGGATATGAATCATCTTCAAGTTACCCTTGGCTGCGGCCCGGTGCATTGCTGTAGCCTCATAATGGTCCTTAGCATCTGGATTAGCCCCACCTTCTAATAACATCACAGCAATCTGAAAAAGACAGAGCAGAGACTACTGCAGAGATCCATCCGTGTTTATGTACACGTTCAGAAGTGAACAGAAGCAACACAGGGGCAGAACCATACCTCGTGCCTGTTTTTGGAAGCAGCGTAATGGAGAGGAGTACAGCCATTTTGATTGACGGCATTCACTTGAGCACCTTTTCCCAGAAGAGCCTTTACAATCTCATCCCGGCCGGCCGAAGCAGCAATATGAAGAGGGGACCAGCCAGCCTGCAAAAGAGGTGGCTTGTATGAAATTAGGGGAAGGGGTACAGATATGAATGCGAACCTTTACAGGGGGTTAGTACATCAGGTGTGAATAGTTTAAAAATACCCATTTTACCCCTCATCAAGTACTGGAGAATTTGGAAAACAATGTACTACTAAAAAATACAATACGATAATGTAGACTTAATGAAATACAAGTCTAACTGTAAGGTGTTTGCTCCTATATAAGACAGTATTTTAAAACTCAAAACTGAGATCAGAGGATATAAAGTTTTGTGAAGTGCATTTTTCACCATTTCACTTATGTTGTAAGAGTTGTCTTGCTGTTCTCTAGTTTTAACTGTTGGTTCCATATTATTTTACCACAGGGATATATTTTACTGTTTTCAACCATTCCATTAAACTATTTTTATTTCTTTCCTATTATAAATTTTAATAAGCATTCCTGAAAAGGGAATTTTTTTGTCAACAAAAAAGTTCCCTTTCTTCACAGTCCTAATACCATCGCAATACAACCTAGGCCATCTTTATTCACCAAAAAAAAAAAAAATGCAAAAAGTCTTAAAAAGAATTTAGGCTTTTAGGGTTCACAGTAACAGGCCCTGACCTGTATTTTTACTCCAAAGGACAGCATATGAGTGGCAAAATTAACATTTTAAAACCATTCACATGCAACTAGTCACATGCTTGATTACCAGGGAAATGAGGTAACTTCCTGGCTGTAAAAGTTACAATTTTGTTTATGAACTTAATATTGAGGCTTCAATAAACACCAGGGTGGAGTCTAATGATAACTGGGAATTTAACAGTTTTGCCTAGTACTCACATCGTCTTTATCATTCACTGGCACTCCGAGTTGGAGCAAGAACTCAACAATCTCTGTGTGTCCTGCTGAACATGCCCAATGCAGAGCAGTCCGGCTGTCCTACATGGAAAACAAGGAAAAACATTCTTGAAGAGAAATAGAAGGCAAAAAGGCAGAAAAAGTAAGATTGCTTGCAGCAAACCCATTGTTTGAAAACAAGAAATGAAGCACACTGCATCTTCAGGTGAGTAACCTTAAACGGTATTACTGACTGCTGTAGTTCAACAGAGAATTTAGGAACATAGGAGGCATAACAACGATGAATGTAAGTCATTCTAGGCAGAACACTGTGATGAAATCAACACAGCAAGAAACTGATTGAAATGCTCTGGCAGAAAAGGACCTTTGGCTGTTTACTTTTACTTATTTCTACATCAGACATCAGAGCTACCAGTTTTCTCTGTATCGTACCATTTAACCACCAACATCCTATACAGTAGATATTATGCCCATTTTATGGATAAAGAAACTAAGAGTCTTTTGGCTAAACAGCTTGTTTTAGATGACATAAGTTAGCCAAGATCCTCTTGGCTCTGAAATCTCAACTACCACACTGATCTCAACATAGACGCTCTGGAAAGAATACATGGAGGAAGAAATGTCCACAAAACGAGCTAAGATTATATACCACTAAAACACACACACATACACACACACACACACACACACACACACACACACACAATTAGAGAGCAACAAAGCGGCTTTTGAAAACTGACAAGCCAGAGTTAGTCCTGGCTCTCAAAGAGAATTAGCATTCGCTTTCCTAGCTGTATCTCCTGGCGAGTCCTATGGAATAGAACTTTGAACGTCTTTGTTTTCAGTGCTGGAGATAGAAACCAGGGCTTAGTCCCCGCTTGGGAAGTTCTCTGAGCTGTTATCTCCAGCCCTGTACGTAAATTTTACAAAAAAATTAAATATATAAAAATATAGAAAATTTAATCATGTCTGTTTTTGCCCCACTCGACGAATATGAGTGACTTTTCCTCCAGCTCCTACCAAACTGGCGGGCTCAGGAGACACGTGTTTCCCCGAATAAAACCACTCAGGTACTAAACTGAGAGCAAAGAAATCCGTAAGTTTGTCCTCACGTCGGCATTTCTGAGAAGTGCGGTACATGTTCTAGAAACGTCCAATCCCACGAGTTAAGCGCAGGGTCAAAACAATGTGCCCCCTGCTCCAAAAGAGCCCCGGCAAGGTCTGTGGGGCGGGCCCGGCCGCTCGGGGCGAGCGCGGGCGCGGCGAGGGCAGGGACGGCCTCCGAGCCGGCCTCCGCGTGGGCTGGGCCCGGGAAGCCACGTAGCGCCCCGGCTGCTGCCGCCGGCTGCGGCCGGGCTGTAGGCGCCTTTACCTGGTCAGTTCTGGTGGCCAGGGACTTGTCGGCCAGGATACTCTCCTTCAACTCTTCCAGCTTCCCACTGTAGGCCAAGTTACAGACCATTAGGTTGGACACACTCCCCTCCATTTCGCTTTCTCAAGAGCTCGAGAAAACGCACGCAAATCCCGCCTTGCGCCCCCAGCTGCCAATCAAAAGAGGCCTGGGCTCCACCAATCACAAGCCTGGCTCTGTCTGACGTTGCTTTTCCCATGGCGCGGAGCTTCTGGGAGTTGCAGTTTGAGGGCAGTTCTGGACTCGAAAGCGCCTTTCTTGTCCTCATGGACTTGGCCCCTAACAGTGCAGGACTACAAGCCCCAGGGTCCCTAGCGACCTCCGTAGTCAAGTTGCCGGTGAAGTTGGCCCACGATGACAGCTGGAGAATGGAGTCAGGTACGGAGAGCGGCTTCGTGCGAAACTGTGAGGAAGAGCTGGGGTGGGTGGTGTCTGGTGGTGCACTGAGTCGAACACTTGAAACGGGTGTTGAGGCGAAGCTAGATAATTGCTGGAGCCTAAAGGCTCTGTTTTCCCCGGGGCCCAGACCTGCTGTGGCAGGCGGAAGGGACAACAGTTGGAACTGAGTTCGAACCGATGACTGTAGCTACCCTCCCCCTCCCTGTCACCACCCAGGGAGTGGAAAAAAAGCAGGATTAAAGAAATCACGCTGGAGTGGCATCAGGCCAGGGTTCTACCACAGCAGTGAAAACACATGACACCATAGGAAGGTGTTGTGCCAGGGTGATGCCAAAGGCAGCGTATGATGATGCCCTGGGAGCCACTTGATAGCTAAGAGATCTCACTGAGACCATAGCTTGGTGACATTACCACTTCGTAAGGGTCATCCTCGGGATACCGTGGTGTGGTGTTCACTCTTTAATATCACAATAATTACGATTATTTTGAGGCTTTCTAGAACTATTACGCCGGTGGTGTTTCTTTTTGTGGAAATCCTAAATAATGTCGTAGCAAAAGAGATACAAGGCTTCTCCTTTACAGGGCATATCCAGAAGGGCATTTTGCCAAAACCATGTAATAATAAAGAATATATTCAAGAAAGAAACTGACCATTTTATGTCAATCATATTATCCTATAGAACAAGGCTTGGCCAAATTTCTGTAAAAAGCCAGGTAGTAAATATTTTAGGCTTTGTGGCCAAAAGGTAAAGTCTTTTATGACAAGAGAGAAAACAAATTTTAAGAAATGTTTACACATGAAATTCAAAAATAATAATTGTTTTACTAATAATAACATAAGAATGTACATTTTTGAACACAGAAAAACAGCATAGAATTCTTTTGAAGCAATAACATTTTGCTTACTTGGGAGTCAAAGTTAGTGTGCTCTATTACCAAAATTGACCCCAAATATTCATCCTTTAATACTGATTTATGAGATTTTACATATATCATCTTTGAAAATGTCTTTTCATACAAATAGGTGTGCAAAATACTGATGTCAATTCATGAACATATATTTAAATTTTTTTATTTAAATACATTTCTTAATGTTTCAGCATAGTTTTATATGGATAGAAAAGCTGCAAATATAGCAAGTACTGTTCCCATACATTCTTCATCCAATTTCCTGTTCTTTCCATGTTTTTTTTTTTTTTTGGGGAACCAGGGATTGAACTCAGGCCCTTCTGCTTGCTAGGGAAGCACTTATTCTACTGAGCCATCTCCCTGGCCCCTGTTCTTTCCGTTTTAATGACTTTTCAAATATGTTTTACATATCATAGAATTCAACTCTTTCAAAAGTATATAGTTAAATGATTTTACTAAGTTCATGGAGCGATGCATCTATCACCAAAAGCCAGTTTCAAAATGCTTTTATCTTCTCAATATGATCTCATTTTCACTTGCAGTTAATATCCATTCCCACTCCCAGCCTAAGCAACCAGTAATGTGTTCTTTTATCTCTATAAACTTGCCTATTTTAGACATCCCATGTAAATAAAATTATATAGTATGTGAGCTTTTTTGTCTGGCTTGTTTGATTTAGCCCAATGTTTTAAAGTTTCAACTGTATCGTATAACATTTATAAATGCTTTCTTCCTTTTTACTGTCAAATAATGTTCTACTTTATGAATCTAACACATTTTTGTCTGTCTAGTCAGCAGTTGATGGACATTTAGATTGTTTATGATTGTTGATTACTGCAACTAATTCTGCTGAGAACATTCTCATGTAGATCTTTTTGTGGGGGCATATGTTTTCATTTCTCTTTGGTACATATGTAAGTGTAGAATTACAGGGTCATAGGGAAGTTTTGTGTGTACCTTTTTAATTTTTAAAAACTCTTTTATTTATTTGGTACAGGATCTCTTAGTGATTGCATTTTTTTGGCATTGTATTAGGGACTGAACCTAGAACCTTTTTACTGAGCTACATCTTGAATCCTTTTAAATTATTTTGTTTTGTTTATTTTTATTTTTGGGACAAGGGCTCATGAAGTTGCCCAGGCTGGGCTTTAAGTTGTGATCCTCCTGCCTCTGTCTCCCAGAATGCTGGGATTATAGGTGTGTGCTACCATAGTCAGCTTTAATACAATCTTTTTGTTTGTTTGTTTGTTGGTACTGGGGATCAAACTCAGGACTTGTGCTTGCCAAGAAGGCACTTATGCCACTGAGCTATCTCCCCAGCCTTAATGGTATCTTTTTTTTTTTTTTTTTTTTTTTGGTGGTACCAGTGATTGAACTCAGGACCCTGTGCTTGCAAGGCAAGGACTTATTCCACTGAGCTGTCTCCCCAGCCCCTTAATGGTATCTTTTAAAGTGAAAACGTTTCCAATTTTGGTGATGACTAGTTTATCTTTTTTTCTTTTATGGAGCATGCATTGAATGTTATACCTATAAAGTCTGCCTAATCTCGTAACAATTGTTTTTCTTCTAGAAGTTTTATTGTTTTGCCTCTTACATTTAAGTCTCATTCAATTTGAGTTCAGTTTTCTGTATGGTGGGAGGTAAGTGCATATTTTTTCATGTGGATATTCAAATTGTCCGAGTACCATTTGTAGATTCTCTTATCAATACCATCTTACATTACTCTTTTATACTTGTCACAGCAGAAAAACCCACATTGGTATGTCACTGTTGACTGTACTTCACATATTTCCCGGTTTCACTAGTTTAGCTGACTCATACATGGTAGCATGTTACAGTCAGTCTGTCTCCTTATCATCTTGGTTTGTGATGATGTCTCAGACTTTGTTTTGACAACCTTGATAATTTTGAGATAACTTCTCAAATGCTTCATCCCTCAATTTGGTTTTATCTGATATGTTTCTTATGATTAGACTAGGATTATATTTTCAGGAGAAAAGCTCAGATATGATGTGTCATTCTCATCATATACTATTGAAATGCCCAGTCTCAGTCTCTGTCTTAGTGCACCCCGGGGGCGGGGCTGGCACAACAGGCTGGGGATGGAACCCCTGGCCCCTGAGTCTGCCTAAGCAGGTGTTTTAATCCACTAAGCTATCTGGCCAGCCTTCTTTTAAAATCTATTCTTTCATAAAATTAGCATACTGTTGCAGGCTACTAAAATAAATTAACCTATAAATAATCCATTGGTTATTTACTTCCTGTCTTAGTTTCCATGTTATTATTTCTGAGTTATTTGCTTTATAAGTGGTTTCTTTTAAATTTTTTTCTATTATGAATAATAAAAGAGCCACAAAACTTGCAAAAATAGCACATAAAGTTTCTATACAATATTCATCCAGTTTATCTCAATCATTGCATTATACCTAATTATAATACAATATTTAAACCATGAAATTGATACTGAAACAACTTTGTTATTTTTTGACATGCTGTAGATTGATTTAATCATCATTATAATCAGCAAACATTCCAATACTACTCAAATATCCTGTGCTACCTCTTTATTGTCATACCTTCCATGTATAGTCATAACTTCTGAAAAATACTAATGTGTCCTTCTAGGCTGCCAACTTGTTTATTTTATTTAACTTTATTTTTTTTTGGACTAGGGACAACACACGTAGGTCCCCCGTCTGTCTGTCTGTCTTTCTTTCTTTCTTTCTTTCTTTCTTTCTTTCTTTCTTTCTTTCTTTTGGCGGAACCGGGGATTGAACTCAGGCCTTTGAGCTTGCCAGGGAAGCGCTTATTCCACTAGTCATCTCCCCAGCCCCTGCCATCTTGTTTATATGTTATGTATTTTGACATGCTGTATTTTCATTTTCATTCAGTTAAATGTGTTTTTATTTTCCTTGAGACTTCCTGTTTGACCAATGGATTATTTAGAAGTTTGTTGCTTAATTTCCAATTGCTTGAGAACTAGTTTATTTTCATTCTGTCTTAATTTCTAGATTGATTCCATTATATTCAGAAAAACATTACAATCCCACCAACAGTGTACAAAAGTTCTAATTTCTTCAGATCCTTGCCTATGCTTGTTGTTTTTTATAGCCATCATAATGGATGTGAAGTGATTTGTAATTGAGGTTTTGATTTGCATTTCTCTGAACATTAGTAATAGTGGGTATCTTTTCATATGCTTGTTGGCCAATAAAAGTGTACGTCATGTTTGAGTAATGTTCTATTTAATTTTTTCCTCATTTTAAAATTAATTTGTTTGAATTCTTGTTGAGCTGTAGGACTACTTTACATATTCTGAATATTTATATATCTCAATGGTCATATATCCTAAATATTAATCATATATATAATTTTCAGATTTTTTTCTAACTCTGTAGTTTGCCCTTTCCCTGTTGGTTGTGGCTAATGCACAGTATTTTTGAATGTGATATAGTCTTATTTTTTATACTTATGCCATACTTTTTGTGTTATTTTCAAGTCTAATGTCATAAAAGTTTTACTATATGTTGTTTTCTAGGCATTTTATAGTTTTAGGTCTTGTGTTTAAGTCTTAATATATTTTCAGTTAATTTTTGTGCATGGTATATGATAGAGTTCAAGTTGATGCTTGCAGATATCCAGTGTTGCAAAAGTTTGTTGAACAGGCTGTCCTACATTGAGTCATCTTAGAACTCTTATTATTTGGTTATACATGCTAGTGTTTACTATCTGGACTTTCCATTACATTTCATTGGTCTACTTGTCTGCTTTCCTGCTAGAATTGTACTATTTTGTTTACTATACTTTCATAAAAAGTTTCAAAATCAAGAAAGTTTTTGTCTTCTAACTTTGTTCCTTTTAAAAATTGTTTTGACTAGTCAGAATCCTTTGGAATTGCATTTGAATTTTAGGCTGAATTTTTTTCTATTTCTTTTCTTTTTTTTTTGGTACTGGGGATCAAACTCAGGACCTTGCACTTCCCAGGAAGATGCTTATGCCACTGAGCTATCTCAGTCCTCTATTTCTGCAAAGAAAGTCATTGGGATTTTAAAAGGGATTGTTCTGAATTT